ACTCGAGACCGCGCATGCGCTGAGCCACGTAAATCAGTGCTGATGGTCACACCTAGATGCTGTGTTTCAGAGCGGATAGATAACTGCTGACCGGCCAACTGCCATGTAGGCAGCTCAGCTAAATGTTCAGCACCAAAGACAAGGCAATGACTTTTAGTTTTAGACTGATCAGGGTGAGTGAATTCGAGTCTCCAAGTGCCCGCGAACTCCCCCACAATGCTTAAAAGATGGCCAAGACTCATGGAGTTCGTAGAAACAAGCATTATGTCGTCAGCGTAACAGATCGAGGGGACATGATATCCCATTAGTTCAGCCCCAAGTCCACTATGATCAAGAGTCTGTATTAAGGGACGAAAAAATATGTTAGCCAGTACTGGGGAAAGGATGGCCCCTTGCCTCGTTCCACGTTCTAGTGGGAAACTGTCGGAACGAATGCCCATAAAGTCAATTTTGGCAGTAAGCTTGCGATACCACGAGAGAAGCAGACACCACGAGCGATTCTCAAGCAGATCAAGAAGACGATAGAAAAGACCGTCATGCCAAATGCGGTCAAAACACTTTCTGGCGTCTAAATTAGCGACGAATACAGGAGATCCCCTTCTTAGGTGCCACTGGACAGTCTCAGAAAACAAAAGAGAGGCTTCGGCTGTTCCACGCTGTGGAACAAATCCAAACTGTAGATCGTGTGGAACGAACGATGTTTCAATTTCCTCTAAAACCATTATCTCTAACAATTTAGAGAAAGTTGAAATAAGTGAAATTGGTCTATAATTGTCCATATCACTTGGGTCAAGTCCAGTTCTTTTAAGCAAAGGCTTGATGATGCTGGTTGCAAATGATGAAGGGACATCCAATCTAGCAAAGCAAGCTGTAAGGAGGTGAGCTAACATGGCAAGCAGTTCAGGCGTGGAGCCATACAGCAGGTGCTCTGTGGTGATTCCGTCTGCTCCTGGAGCAGAATTACGCCTAAGGCGCAATATAAATCGGGAAACATCCGATGCGGTAACAATACGAGGTTCGTCACCATTGCACCCAGCCTCTAAACGAGCAGATACAGCATCGCGGATCCAGTGCTGGTTTGGTGACAATTCAGCTACATTGTCCTGATGAATACGAGAAAAATGGGATCTGAAGCTGTCTGCGTCTACGGAGCATTCAGCAACCGTCACACCTCTCCGAGCTCTACTAACATGTCGCCAAAAGGAGCCTAAACTTTCCCCACGGCGAAGCTTGTGTAACAGCCGTGCCTCATGATCAATTTTCGATCGAGACGCATGCTTCCGCTCGCGCCGGTAGGCCCGTCTTGCTTCGCGATAGCAGTTATGCACATGCGTGTATAGCCGCTTACCAGATTCATGCCAGAGGTAAAGCCAAAACCGGGCTCTATCACGCGCTGAGGAAACGCGGGGGTTCCACCATTTTTTAGCAGGACGTCTCGGCTTTGCACACCCAGAGTCACGAGCTGCAGCATGAATGCAAGAGCTGATAAATGTATCTAATCTATCCAGTTCTATAGAGCTGCCTAATTGTGGCGAAGCTACCAAGTAAGTCGCAAGTAACGTTTTATAATGGTCAATAGCTTCTTCAGAATTCCAAATAGGGACATAAGAGAGGACAGAGGGATCAAATCTGCGAACTGGAAGGCAAGATACAGCAGCAAGTCGCAAATGTAGACTTAATTTGGCAATGACTGGGAGGTGAGGGCTGAGGTTATCAATTGATGAGCTTAGAATCATACAATTCGTTAGAGATGGAAGCAAACACTGTGGCACAACAATGTGATCAATGTGTGAGGAGCCGCCTGCCCTATCATAAGTGACAGACTGTTTCTGAGGAAACTGGAATTCGGACACAACCAAATGGTGATCATCAAGTAGCTCCTGCATAAGAGCGCTGAGTGGTGAGAAACCACGCAAATTCTGCCAGCCGTTAGGCCTGTGAACACTGGCCAATCTTGGTAAGGCGCAGTTAAAATCCCCTACAAGAAGCACAGGGGATGCAGAGCGATATGCGGTAATAATTGCATCTAGTTTGCCTAGCAATTCAGCGTAACGTAATTTGCTGTCACCAGTCGAGTCCCAGAATGGCATATAACACCCAATTACCGTCAAACAAGGACCCGAATTATCATATACAGTGACGCCACATAGCCTTACATCTTCACACAGTACTTGGCGGTAGCACAGCCCAGGGCGACCGCGACAAATAAATGCTACCCCTCCGTGTCGTCTACCAGCATAGGGACCAGGCGGGTGTTCCATGGCTGATTCTTGTACACAAAAGTAATTGCCTTGGCGATGTTCAAGAAGCAGCCTAGGCAACATACATTGTTCTGAACTGGCTAGCCAAGTTTCGCATAGAAACAATAAATCGCATTGGTTGATAAGTGTGCAGACGTAAGGAACAGCCGACAAAAAACCTTCACAATTATATGTGCCTATGGTGAAGGGGATGTTCTCAGTTCCAAACCTGGATTGGCCGCTCGTTGCGCTGGGCCCCTCGCCGACTGCCACTGTTTGAGTACTGAGGCACTCTGCCACCTCTCTGGCGAAACCCGCTGCCTCCGTTGGGGCGGGACTGGTGCAGCTGGCGTCGAGGTGCAGTTGGAGCGCTCGATGATGGAAATGGCTGATGCTGTGCTGTTTCCTCGATCAATGGACTCACTTTAAGGCCCAAGGGCCAGTGAGCCGCCTCCAGGACTTGAGATGAGTCACTTGAATCAACGTCGATGCGGTAAGACTTAGTCCCCGCAACAGCTTCGCTATAGGTAGTCACTTGCGTTAGGTTGCGTAAGGACGTCACCCGCTGCGTGACCATGCTGTGCACCTGACTGTCGGTAGCCTCTCTTCGAATTCCCTCGATGAGGAACGGTACAGTTGTGGGGTGCACAGGGTTAGGCGGTTCAGCAACCAACTCAGATCGCTGCCCCGTGCCCGTGACTGGTGTCGGCCGGCTTATAGGAGGATCCCGTGATACGCTCTCTTCATGTAACTGGCTGTGCAGCTGCTCACGGAAAGGTGCAGATCGCGAGCTAACTGAGCTCACGGGCTCGTCCTCATGATAGCCGTGGGTTTGTCGGCTCCATAGAGTGGGCCTGGGGTGCACATAGCGACCCTGGTCCGCGCTCTCCTGTGGATGTCGTGTTTCCTGACGCCGACGAGAGCTGACTTCTGTCGAGGAAGCAGGAGCTGCTCGGTTATACTTCAGCGGCTTCTCAGTCCACGAACGCACGCGCAGCCCAGTAGGCCAGTTTGCTGAATTCAGCACTTGAGAGCTCGCTGCATGGTCAACCTCAATACGATAGGCTTTAGTTCCTGCGGCAACTCCACTGTGTCGAGCAACTTGATAAAAGTAATAAACTGTTATAATAAACAATAATAAACTGTTAAGAAATCATCGGAACTTGCAGTTTATCGGTTACAGCTTCCCGAAGGTATTCACAGCAACACCACAATGAGTTATATCAACTGCACACATTTTCTCTTCAAAAGTCAATAGATTGTCGTTATCACAGCTGTGAATGCTTTTCGCTCGCATTGTTGATATATTTCTAATGCTCGCTTGCTTTTAACACGCTAATAAATTTAAAAGGTTTTCTAATTTTATCATTCATTCAGTTGCATGGGATCTTTTACCACATCAGTCGTCAACTACCTATAGGTATTCTGAACTTTTTTTTTACAATAGCTTATTGTGCCGATCCCTCCTTCATCAACGCTCCTCTCAATTGGCTTTGTCCAAGCCGTTTGCCGATGTCTCACGATGTTTCCCCATCTTGCCCCGTATACCAGATCTAGGGAAGTGCTCAACTTTTTTAGAAAAGTCTCTAGATCAACGATCTCGTCCGTTTGCTCCCGTTCTCGCAATTTACGATGTTGAACGGTCGTAGTGGGAACGCGGCCTTAGATTAACGGAAATTTCTGAGTATGAGCAGCCGGCCGGCCGGCCGGCCGTGCGGACGCTTTTGCGAGGCTCATATCTCAGCAACCACTTGACCGATTTACATGCAGTAACTTTTGTAGGGTAGCTTCATTCCTTCTACCAAGTATTGGACTATTCCCGATGCATGTGGGTGACCCCTTATGCGCGTGCCACGTGCAAAACGGAGAGGTGTCAGTTTTGTAATTGTTGCAAATTGCAATATCTCGGTAACTACTGGGCCGATTACGCTGAAAGTTGGCATGTAGGTAGGCACCCACTAGGCAATGCATATCCATGTGCCAGAGTTGGGGTGCTGCTGCACGTGCGCACGTGCAGGGGTCGTTTCCAGATCTCGAGAACGGCTGGACCGATTGCGCTCAAGTTTGGTACACAGTTGGGGACCGGCTAGTATGGTGCCGTGCAAAAGTCAGTTGCGACCCACTTTGCACGTGCGCACGTGCAGGGTGCCGCTTCCAGATCTCGAGAACGGCTGGGCCGATTGTGCTCAAATTTGGCACATCGCTAGAGACCGGTTAGTAGGATGCCGTGCGCAAGTCAGTTTGAGGTACCCCTCGAAATTTCGCAAGTGCAAGGCCCACCCTCTCGCTCGCTCCGTCGGTCGCCCCAAAAGGCGTTATACTGGTAATTCATGTTTCAGCAGTGTAGGATTGTTCCTACATTCTGAACTGGCAAAAACCACTGTTCAAACATCACTGTTCTAAAAGAAAGACCCATGGGCCATGGTAGATGCTCGTGTTGTTATTAGACGTTTTCACGACGGGCTATCCGGCGAATGAATATAATTTGATCAACTCTGCACCTAATCTCTCTTACAGCAAATATCTTCATTTTATGAATTTATTTCAGTGTTTTAATCGATGATACTCTCTGATAATATGACAAAGCAGGCATATAAGCAATTAGGCCGCTGTGAAAACGGCTATTACATATATATATATATATATATATATAATATATATCTATATATATATATATTATATTATATATATATATATATATATATATATATATATATATATACATTCTATAGTATGTAATTTCAGTTTCAACTTTTTCAGAGTTCTGTGTTTAAGCTCAGACATTGCTCGGCCAGCACCAAGAGGCAACTGCGACCACTTCCACTCAGTGCAACATCCGGCATGGCTGCCGGTCGCCACCTCCCGGGGCTGCTGTTGGTCTACCTGGTGATGGCAGCAGTATTCAGCACGGCATATCGCTCCTCAGAAGAAAGATACTCGGTGTGCAACACGCGCTGCTGCAAGGTGGAGCCCAACTGCTCGGCCGCCCTGCACGTCGCCTGCCGCTGCCACTTCGCCAAACGGGTATGATATCAATTTATTCATTTAGCGCAAGTACATAACTTTGTGCACTTTGATCGAAATAATTTGATCCATTCGCTCTAAAACGACAAACCACGATAATTTTATATCAAAGTGTGGCTCCAGACATCATGAAAATTCCCCGCGTTTTGGCATTGCTTTGATTTTCTTGTTCCAGCATCATCAAGCCTTTGCTTAAAAGAACTGGACTTGACCCAAGTGATATGGACAATTATAGACCAATTTCACTTATTTCAACTTTCTCTAAATTGTTAGAGGTAATGGTTTTAGAGGAAATTGAAACATCGTTCGTTCCACACGATCTACAGTTTGGATTTGTTCCACAGCGTGGAACAGCCGAAGCCTCTCTTTGTTTTCTGAGACTGTCCAGTGGCACCTAAGAAGGGGATCTCCTGTATTCGTCGCCAATTTAGACGCCAGAAAGTGTTTTGACCGCATTTGGCATGACGGTCTTTTCTTTCGTCTTCTTGATCTGCTTGAGAATCGCTCGTGGTGTCTGCTTCTCTCGTGGTATCGCAAGCTTACTGCCAAAATTGACTTTATGGGCATTCGTTCCGATAGTTTCCCACTAGAACGTGGAACGAGGCAGGGGGCCATCCTTTCCCCAGTACTGGCTAAATATTTTTTCGTCCCTTAATACAGACTCTTGATCATAGTGGACTTGGGGCTGAACTAATGGGATATCATATCCCCTCGATCTGTTACGCTGACGACATAATGCTTGTTTCTACGAACTCCATGAGTCTTGGCCATCTTTTAAGCATTGTGGGGGAGTTCGCGAGCACTTGGAGACTCGAATTCACTCACCTGATCAGTCTAAAACTAAAAGTCATTGCCTTGTCTTTGGTGCTGAACATTTAGCTGAGCTGCCTACGTGGCAGTTGGCCGGTCAGCAGTTATCTATCCGCTCTGAAAACAGCATCTAGGTGTGACCATCAGCACTGATTTACGTGGCTCAGCGCATGCGCGGTCTCGAGTAAAACGTGCCCGTGGAGCTTTTTACGGGCTCACACCTGCAGGAATGTTTAGCAAGGCTATTTCTGCTTTAGACAAAGCTTTTCTATGGCGCACGATTGTAGCCCCTTCTTTGACATCTGGGAGCATCGTTGCTCCACTGAGAGCTGCTGACATAAGTAACCTGGAATTATTTCAATCTTCTAGTATAAAGGCAGCCATTGGGCTCCCTGTGTATGCTCATCATTCTGCCCTAATGTCAGCGCTTGGCATTCCTAAGGTTCAAGAGCTTCTCCGATCGCTTACGCTTCGCGGCTTTGCTCATCTGTTTCGCTCGGATCATAGGCTTAAGCAGATAATGATTCGCAGCCTTGCTGTTCTAGCTACTACGCCTTCAGAGTTAGACGGATCATTCTTGAGCTTTACACATAGCCTCGGAAATAATAATTTTGAAGTTACAATGAACATAGCATGTGGCAATATTGATGGTGAGCTTATTCGTGGCTCTTGTATGAATGATGGAATTGTGGACACAATCAAATTCCTGCTCAACAGCACTTGCTCTCATTCGCGTAAAATTCTTAGGCTCATAACAGTCACAAATGAAAGCACACAGGCGCACAACTTGAACTAAAGTATGCTATCAATGGTTTTAGAATGTCCAATGATTGGCTCTTGTGAATGTCCTTGCGTGGCCTAGCATTGTTCTGCAGGCATTAATGTATGTACCTACCTGGCCCATGTATATGTACTGCTACTTGTTATAACTGTCACCTCACCTTGTCACCTCACATTGTGTGTGTGATGCAAATAAATGTGATGATGTGATGATGATAGGAGCATATTCCCTTGAATTTAGGTTAGTTTGTAAAAAACAGTCATAAAAGCAAATGCTTTTTTGTGTTGTGCGCGTTGTTATTGAAACTAATTTTGATGGGTACGTGACAAATATACCAATTTTCATTTCAGGTCGTTTTACGTGACGGAGACTTCCCGCCGTCGGTGGAGACCATCTACTTCTACGGAGTGCGCAACCTCACAATAACAGAGAACGCGCTGTTGAACCTGCCCTCCCTGACCCGAGTCGAGCTGCGCCAGATCGAATGGATGAAGGTGCTCTCGAATGGACTGGCGCTGAACAGCAACTCCTCACTCGCCTTTCTTGCCATCGACTCTGTGCGCCATATGAAACTGGAGGCCGGCGCCTTCTCGGGACACTGGGACACAGAAGCCAAACTAAGGATTGGATACGTGTCGTCACTGGTCCTCAGTCAGAACACGTTCAGCTTCCAGTCTTCACCTCATATACCCAGCCTAGTCATTGAACATGCAACACTACAGGATATCGAACCAATGGCATTCAATGCGTCTTTAGAGTTTCTGACTCTGAAGGACGTTGAGATCAAGATGGCAGAAGGAACGGCTTTGGTGGAAGCATCCAGGCTTTGAGCATGGA